CTTACTTAGCAAGGTCATTTTTAAAGCTCTTCTTTGCTGCTAATTATGCAAACAAACATATTATCACAAAGATAAGTGATAGTGATGAGTTATGTCCAACAGCACTGCATGATGGAGAAATCTGCAGCAACCCCTTCTTAAAGCATCTGGTGCTCATGGTATTGGCTGTGAGAACAGGTATTGAGTAGACTGCAGACTTGAACTTCTCTGCATGTGTTGCCTGGCTGGGCTGCAGCAGCATGGGTGAGCAGCTTGGTCTCTGCAGGGAAGTTCACTTGGACTTTCTGTTGATAAGTCACTAAAGGCTTGTAACCTTTTTCAGTTGTCTTGCTCTTGCAAGAATAATGAAACTCTGTCAAAAATGGTAATGCAAGTCTAATTAGATATAATATATATTACCTGTTTATGGAGCAAGTAGCTTGTCAGCATTTTTGTAACATTATGATCTCTGTGTATAAATTACATACAACTTGATTGAGACAATTAATGTCACATTTCTAACATCAAAATTAGGCAGTTGCTAACTTTAAAGTAATCTAGTTTTCAAGGCAATTTTCAATTAGTTTGTTTAAATTGCATCAAATTAGATTAAAAAAAAAGTCTAGCAACACTATATTTAAGCAATATTTTCTTCTAAGACTTTTAAACTGAATTTTAAAAGCCCAGACTAAGAGATTGACAATAAATGGATAAATTTAAATGAGAATGTTTTGGGAAGAGGAAGAAATGAAGATTCTTGGAGAAATATTTCTGAAACTTCACTACAGTTTAGACTTTCAAGTGCTGTTGTGGTTAAACCCCAGCTGGCAGCTCAGTACCACACAGCTGCTCACTCACTCCATCCTACCAGGTTGTGGATAGAGAATCAGAAGGGTAAAAGTGAGAAAACTTGTGGGTTGAGATAAAAGCAGTTCAATAATTTAAACAGAATAATAGTAATGCTGATAAATTGTAGTGAAAAGGAAAATGACAGAGAAATAAAACCCAGGAAGTGATGCAAACGAAACAGTTGCTCACCCCCAAGAGAGCGGTGCCCAGTCAGTCCCCGAGCAGGGCCCCCAGCCAGCCCCCAGCTTTATGTTGCTGGTCATGGCACCATAAGGTGTGGTGTATCCCTTGGGTCAGTTGGGGCCACCTCCCTGTGCAGCCCCAGCTCACTGGTGGGGTGTGCTATGAAGCAGAAAAAGCCTTGTCTGTGTGTAAGCACTGCTCAGCAGTAACTGAACATCCCCGTGTTATCAACACTATTTTCTAGCACGAATCCAAAACACAGCCTCATACTGTGAAGAAAATTAACTCTGTCCCAGCCCAAACCAGCACAAGTGCTAACTGGATACTTCGAGAAATTTCACTTACTGGTAGAAGAGAATATTTCTCAAAACTCATGAGTTCGGTGAAGTTGTAAATGTTGTTACCTTTCCCAGAAATACCAGAAATTATTTGATGCATTTTCTGTTTTAGTATTTTCAGATCTTGAGAATGTTTGTATTTGATTCAAAATGAAAACCTGATGTTTCAAAACAGCCAGAAAATTCCTAATAGAAAAAAAATGCAGTGGTTCATACTTATTTTTCCTCTTAAGCTTTCCTTTGGCTTATTGCAGGGATCTTGGAAAGCAAAGAAAAGATGATTAGTAATGAGCCTAACCTCTAAGAAACTGTCATTTCAAAGTTTTTGCCAAAGCTCATGGAGCTATGTGGGGAAAAAAGACATGGTAAGGCTATCAAGAACCCTAAATTTTTTGTTAGAAAGCAGTGTTTTAAGTTATAGAAGGGGCACAGTGTATCCCATCTGCTTTTCCTAACAGACTTTCCAAGCCAGGTGTTTTGTTAGTCCCTCTCTAACCCCAAAAACTTCTCGGTAGAAGTTTCTAAACTGCTGAATAACTGTTCTTCTAGCATTCTTCTCTCTCACTTAAGGGATTTATGCCAATACTGGAGGCAATAATTACCTGTGTGCAGAGGATAAATATTTTCCTTTTCTTCAGTAGCAGGGTAATCTTTTTACTTCCTCAGCTAATCACATACTTTAGTGTTCCTTTCTGCTATTTTATAGGTGTCTTAAGATCTCATGGCTTCAGTAGTCTATTGAACAAGAAAATTAAATTTTTTAAAAACTACCAGCAAAATGCTTTTCAATACAATTTTAGGTGTATGAACCAGAATTAGATGCAGTTTTTATACTCTTAGTCATTCCATAGCTGTTCAGGTTGAGATGTTCTGAATCATAATGCAAGAAAAATCCCATTGGCCGAACTACAGGTTTTAATTAGGTTTTATGCATTTCATTGTTTGTTACTGTAGTCATGCCTCTCTGATCACCATAGTCCTTAAGGAAATTGGTTGTACTCATAGCTCCTATTGAAAAAACACACTTTTCATTCACAGAAATAGGTTTCCACAGTGCCAAGATACCATTGCTGCAATAACATGTGCATTTAATATCTGTACTCATATTAATAGATAATTGCATAAGAAAATACTGAAAGGACAATTTTTAACTTGCAGAGTTCTAGCACTTGAAATAGAAAGTAAGAAATCATCTTGCCAACCCTGCACTAATTACTTTCTTCCTAATTTGTGGATTAAAATTAAGGCACTAAGTGTAGTATCCAAGGCATAAACTGTTTTTGAATGACAAGATTCAGACCCATAAGATTTTGATGTTTCAGGACATTTGAAGTGCAGCTGCTGTTGCAGCTGAGTTTTTTTAATGTTCTAGCAAATGCTATTGGGGGCCTGGGAGACAAAGAACATACCAGTGTCATGTGTTTGCAATTATCTAGTGACACATCTAGATCACCGATGAAGTCAGAAGTCAAGATTGAATTCTTCAGTGATATCAAACATGAGACTGTCCTCCCAAGTTGTTGCAATCACATATCATTAGCTTATCAAAAAAGTATGTGCTCTCTGACTGCTCAGCAGATGAGGTGGGGAGTCTGTAGACCATCTCTTCCAGAGTGTCTCCCACTATGCTGCAAAAGCAAAGGCCTGGCACAGAGAAAGGATAAAAAGTTGTGATGGAAGATAAAATGTTACATCTTGCCCTGATGCAGAATGGTGCACTTTTGGTACTCTGGCCTGGAAAATGTTCATGTGCTCTGTTTGCACTGATGCTTGTAGCAGCAGTGGTACTGTAAGAGGTGTGAAGATCTGATCTACACTATTGTAGTGGAGGATGGTATATAGACCTGGTCATCTCGGGGAGGTTCAGGAAGGACTGTGGTGAATTGACTGGGGAGTGGTTTAGTTGTTAGTTTCAGAAATATGCATGTTTCTGTTAAGCTTGTATGGACCATGGATTTCTGCAGAGTTTATAAGCTGGCCAGATCTGGGTGGGTTTTTGTGAGGATGTCTCAGTTTAACTACCCCTATCAAATTTCAAATCATTGCTCAACAAACTCAAGCTTTCCCAAGAGAGGTTTGCCAACATATTTTGACCTTGAATAATCTATTTTCCTGTAGCTTTATTTTAATAAATAGCCGTACACCTTTATTGGAAACGTTACAGTTCTAGGCAGGTGGAACTAGAGGTGGCAGAAATGTGCATGACAAAGCTGTATTTAGTTTTAGAAAAGTTGCAAAAGGTTGATTTGTAATGTAAGTAATGTAAGTGTCCATATAATGCCCCTGGTATTTGTGGAAATCCTCTCAAAATGTATGTGAAGAAACAACTTCTTGGAAATGGTTTGGGTTTTTGTTTGTTCGTGATTTTTAAAATTTTGTGTAATTTTAAAGGTTGTGATGCTTGCAGAAAGTAACACAGGTTCTATTTTGCTTGGTTTGCAATCAGTAATACAAACAAAAGGGTAAAACAGTGTAACCAATCCCACTGCCCCAAACCCTGCCCTCAGAAAAATAAAATGGGAAAAAATGTGTGTTATGAAAATGAGTTCTCATTTGTACCCGTTCCTTAGTTACTGCAGAGCCTCTCTCCTAACTGCAAAGTGCTTGATGCCATTCATGATCACTGAAGTGGTAACAAGAAATCCTATGAGTGGCCAGAAATCCTAATGGATTCTGGCTGATTCTGACTGTTTTTTTACTTTTGCGTTTTATCCTGTAACTAAAATTGTTCACAAATTTCCCATAAGGAAAACTATTATGTGAACAAGGAGCTATTTTTGTTTTATACAAGGCAAGCAATTCCATGCACCATGATTTAAGAGTTTGTATTTTCCTGGAAGGGAAGGATAGAGTTGTTGCTAACATTTGCCTAGTCTTATTACTGAACAAGATTCAAGTACATGTTTTTAGGCAATGAATTTTCAGCAGGCTTTGCCTCAACACCAGAGATTCTCCCGTGGTACTGATTGTATATGTAAAGTGAAGGATTTTCAGTGTTGGCCTCAGGCATTCAAAGTGAAGGCACTGGGCTTAACCACTCGCTTTATCGTGGGTGAATTAGTATGGAGCACCTTCTAAAATCTAATCACTGCTTTGTGATAATCAGTGATTTGTAATGACTGAAACACTTTTTCAATTTGTCTGTGTGAAATTTTATTCTATCATATGACTACCAGTCCCAATTTAGCAAACTTTTGCAGTGTAAGAAAACCTGCTTATGATTTGTTTTTCAGGTCATAAAATCAAGGTTTGGGAAGGTATCCTTACACTTCATCTAGTTGGAGCCTATTTCAAAGACAGGCTTAGAGAGCAATTGTAAAATAAAAAAGAATAAGTGAAGGAATTTTATAAAATAGTTTCAGTGAATTAATGTGAATTACTGAGAATGGAAAGGAGAAGGAATATTGTGAAACTGTAAAGAATGAGAGTAACGGAAACCTCAGAGAACTCATAGCTATTAGTGTGGGTTTAGAGGTGGCAAATTCAACAGCAAATTGAAGAAAGGTGATGTAAACAGGTATATGTAGTGATATGTTTAGCACAGTGTAGAGATCTTTGAAACAGTAGAACTGATTTGATTTTTTTCATACTGACTCTGTATTCCAATGCATACCACTGTTAGTAAATACACTGCGTCTTTTGTAGACGGTGGACATTCACAAAGAGAAAGTTGCTAGAAGAGAAATTGGTATCTTGACTACAAACAAAAACACCTCAAGAACTCACAAAATCATTGCACCAGCTAACTTGGAGCGACCAGTTCGCTACATCAGGAAACCTATTGATTATACAATTCTAGATGATATTGGACATGGAGTGAAGGTAGGTGATGTTGTTAAAACAGCCAAACTGCAAATACATTGTCTTTGTATATTTTCAAAATAACCTGATGCTTTTCATGGTAATATACCAGTTTCTCCTTGCCTGGACAGTGTGTCTGTAAACATAAGAGGAGTCCTGTCCGCGTTCCTCTTCCCTTGCCCCAGTGTTTCTAAACCTTGCAAACGCACTGAATTTTATTTCTGAGGATACTTGGGACTGTGAGTCTCACCTTTTAAAATGTTTCTGAATACCAATTTGTGTGATGCTACTATTGTTTGAATCAGTTGCCAGGGATATACCTGGGGACTGAAAGGCTAATGACCATCACTTTTCTGCCTGAATTAGCACCACAAAGTATGATCCAGCTGTAATTGCCACTGGTTTACTTTGAAGCTCACCCGAAGAAAGGGTTTGCATGAGAAGGATTATGTGCTCCCTTTTCTTCTTTCTGTCAGAGTCAGTTATACACATACCCATTGACATGCTTTGTTAAAGTGAGCTCTCTACAACTTCTGTGCCATATGGGGTTTCAGGATGGGAATATTACTGCTAAGTTCGAAGCCAGCTGGTTCTCCCTTTTAAGACTAGGAAAAAAGGAGGAATTTCAGGACAAAGATCAGACTGAGACACAACTGGTGGCTGTTAGATCAGTGTACACAACAGCAGTAATATCACGTGTGAGATTAGATAATGCATTTTTAAAAGCACATCCTGAATGTAAACACAGTCTTAGCAGGTGTGAGCTCATTGTTAACTTGTGCTGCCAGGAAGACCAATACGGAAATGAGAACACTGACAGTGTTAAAGTTCCAGGAAAAGAAAGGTAAATAACACAAAGTGGTGTCATTTTTACATGACAAACTAACAAATCTGTAAGCCTGCTAAGTAGCAGTAAGGTAAGATGCTTCTTCCAGTCAAAGTATACCAGAATTTCTTTTGCTGGACTCCTAACTGCATTAGGTTATCTATGTTGTTCTATTTGAATTGTCTGCCTGGACAGCCATTTAAATGCCAATATGTTGTTTAACCTAACTCTTAAAATTCAAATTTTGAACAGTTTGATTTAAATATCTTTCCCAAGCAATTTTACTCAACATATTGTTTGTTAACAGAAGGTGGTTTTTTCCCCCATTTCTTACCCAATGAGTCAAAGTCTAAACAGATTTTAAGAATACAAGTGACTCTTTAAGCATGATTTGGAAAACCAAACCAAACAACAAAAAGCCCCAACATTAATAACTAGTTTTGACCAGAAAATTATTATCAGTCCTGTGTTAAAATCTACTACCAGTTCTTAAAAATTCTGAATTTGTGCAGGTCAGCAGAACTCCTTCTGGATATGGATGGAGCATATTAACCTGTAGGATTGCTGTTGCTAATATTTTAATAATCACTTTTTGTTTTAAGGAGATTATTTTAGAACTCATTAAAGAATAGTTTGTAATTGCTCTGCAGCACAATCTTATTTAGCACTGGCTCTAAATCATTGTAATTGGTATCCCACTTACCTCAATGTAGCAGAGTCTTACTCACTGTGATGCAATGAATTATGTTCTTTTGAAAGAACATAGTTCATCAAATGGATGGTGACTCAAATGGGCATTTGCATCCATTTGCCTGTGATTTTTTAAGATCATAGATGTGCTCAAATCAGGTTAATCCTGTGTTTAGGATAGAAGAAAAAACAACTCTTCCTGATGGGGAAAAAGTGGCCAGTTGTGCTTATGAACCTGTTGGTTTTGTTCTGATTGAGTAACTACAGATTAGTTTACTAGATCTCTGGCTGTAGAACAGAGGGAAAAAAGAGAAGATAGAAGCTTTAAATTTTTGTATTGATAGCTCTTTATTGTTTGAGCTCTTCCCTTCACATGAACATTCAGGAGGAGTTACTGCATAAATAGCATTAAATTTCCAGTTAGCATCAGGGTGCCTCAGTCCACATTCTTTGTCCTTTTTCTGCTGTAGGGCTTCCCCTCTAGTACTTTGGACACAGAACTATGTATTGTCAGGACAGTCAGAATGCTAATGCAGCAGGCATTCATTGCAGCCCCCAAGAACGATGACAAACTGGACAGAGAATAATACAGGAGAGAAAAGAAATTCAGTATGCCATGCTGAGAGAAGTTGTATAGGCACTTGAGAATCTTATTCCTTCCATTCAAAAATTTGAAGCATCAGTGAGTACCATGTTCAGGAAAGGCTGCTCTACATTATGGTTTCTTAAAAGGTGTGAAAGAATTCAAGTGTTTTTGTTTCATCCCAGCAGTCTCTCCTCATCTTCCTTCCCTGAAGCTACAATGCTGCAAAAATCTAAAGAACTTCTTGTGTGAGAGACTTGCTTTCAATTTTTTCAAATGTTTCCTGAGTTGCAAAGTCTTCCAATCTGTTCTTCCCTCCAAAGAGTTCGTTGAGTCAAGAGGATGAAAAAAAAAGTGATCCATTCAGAGTGGTGTGTATTAAGGCACAGTAATTATCAGGCAGTGCTGCTGAGGTCGCTGCTCATGGACCTTCCAGTGTAACTGGTCGCTCTGGCCAGGACAGGGGAATCTGGTTTCCCAGTGTTGCTGTATGAAGCTGAGAACATATTGGTTAATAGATCAGCTGAGCTTTAAACTCAAAGACAGGAGATTTTCTAGTAAATGAGATTATGTTTCCTTTTTAATACATTAGGGTCTCTTCTAAATGGATGAAACAGATTAGTCACTCTGGATGCTCAACTGTTGGAATTCTGCATATTTACTGTTCTGTTACAAAAGGTGTAAAGAATTTAATGATATGTTTAGATTAACTGAACTGAAAACAGGTCATTCAGATGGATAGACTAGTTTTTTGGATGGAAATTATTATGGGGAAAGAAGATACATGGTATTGTGCCACTAAGATGCAGGTCTTAGTGCTAAAAGCTAGCACTTAGGCTTTAAAATAAGATTTTGCTGTTGGTTAATATCTTTATATGTAGTTTAGAAAATGTTGATATGTAGTGCAGTATCCAGGTAGAGTGTTGTACTTCTTACAAGAAGTCATGATTTGCTCTTGATGTTTAAGAAGTATCGCATGGCATCAAGTTAACTAACAGCATTGTCTAGGAGAGAACATATATTAGCTGAATATTTTAGAGCTGAATATTATTTATTTTGGTTCAGCTAGTTGTAAGTGTGCTAATGCATGCAACAATTTAAATGAGCTCAGGCTCATTGATAAGGCTATTCTTTGACAGCCTAAAGAAATTAATCTCTGAAGTTAATCCATCTTAGATCTCACGATCCATTCTGAAAGAAGCTGCCTTTTTGTTGGCACTGTCAGAGCTTGAGTAAACAGTGTACAAGCATTTGAACATTAATTTTAAGGTATTAATCTAAAGGCTTTGTGGTCAATGTATGTTAAAAGTTTCAGCTTGAAAATCTTTTGTTCATGACATTCTGCTTTAACCACTCTTTCTATGATCTACCGATACATTATTTTGTTAATGCTGAATGCTTAACTTTTTTCTTTCTTTTTCCTTTCTCTTCATATCCTGAAGTTCCAACTAACCTTTCAATGCTTTTTTTCCTTACCTCTTTCATTTGCTCCATTTATGCATTAAGTGGTTGCTTAGATTTAAGGTAAGAAACCCCAGGGCTGGATTTCCATTCTTCTTCTTCTGAGACTATTACACACGGGGAGATGATTAACGTGACTGTTACTGATTGTTTAAAACAACACCCACTCTCCCTGCAGTGTAGCAGAACTTCTGTTGAGAGACTTCATTGCAGATAAGCATTCTGTGATAGAAATTGATGTGTTTATGTAAGGAAGCTAACACAATTAATTTTAAAAGCTTTGTGGCACAATACCGACTGCATTCAGCATATCTACCAGATCATTTGCAAGGAAGGGATGTTGTGCTATCCTTGTGTAGCAAAAAGATACAGTAGATAGATAGCAGCTGTGTATGAGCCTCCCCCTGTGTAATAGTCTTTTTATCCTATATACGGTGTAAGTTATGGTTTGATTGGGGTTAATGTTTCGGTGCTTGCTCAGATAATGAGCACCAAAGCTGTGGAACAAATTCAAATCTGTATATTATTTTTTAAAGTTGCAGTATTCTAATTTTTTTTTCAGAAACTGCTAGCACTATTTAAATACTTAGAAGCACTCATACGTGGAAACTTTCACAAGTTTGATAATTGTGGAAAATACTTAATAACCCTTAAAGAACAAGCTGATTTATTTAGTTGAATATTAAATGAGTAGTCCATCAAAGACCTCAGACTGAAGTACATCAAATTCTCAAGGATATTAGTGGTTTAAATGTTAGCAGAAGCAGCAATAAAAACCATCAAATTAATTAGGCAGTTAAAGGAAGTTAAATGATTTTATGTTGGGGTTTAAAGCACATTAATTAATAGATTGGTTATAGCCTTTATTGAGTATATGATAATCTCCTGAAATGCAGCTGGTTTGGGGAAAGAGGGAATGAAAGATTTTTAGTATCAGCTGCCACAGTTTTTAAGAGGGAACTGTATCTTAGAACACAGAGTGCTAATATGTAGTATACATATGTTAATTGAAGGAAGTTCCAGGTTGGTATTTAAGTATTTTCTGTGACTGGAAAAAAACTAAAAGAAAATCCTGCAAATTCCCAAGAAGATTGCCTGTCAAATCAGGTGTTACTGTAGATATCCCCACAATGTTCCTATGGAATTGGCCAGATGGTACTTTTTGTAAGGTATGTAAGTGTATGTAGCGGATCTGATAACAATGGAAAATTTTTAATAAGTGAGAGAATTGTCTCATGTCATTTGAAATTTATTTTTACGTAAGTGTAAGAGCCATACTGTATTTCAACTCACATAGTGTTTAAATGCTTTGAATTTGAGAGTTGCAGAATATATCTCCTGCCTGTCCACGCAAAACAGATACCTCTAACACTGAATATGTCTTATTCTGGACACAATTCATATTGGGTGATGGTTTTCTCAGTGTTGTTAAAAATCCAGTTTGCAAACTGAGTTTTCTTT